TTTATGCTTGAATAGTTATTTTCTGTGGTGCAGATGGCCACCCCAAAATACCCTTAGAGATTCATGAACTGTAGCAGCTATGTATTCTAGGAAATCAACTAAAGAGGCAAATTATAAACCAGACATCGAAATATAAGAATTTTGATTTGATTTAGCATAAACTAAATGGCACACAGTGAGAGGAGAGATGACGTGACAGAAGAGGAATGTTAAAAGACAAACTAAGAAGAAAAATGTCATGGGCTCAGTGCAAGTAGCCCCCCACCTGCATACAGACATTGTGCAACATCTCGGCTGTTTTATTGCCCGATCCCTTTAAAAGTCACTTCTCAAATGTACCATTTTATGGCTCCTGAAAGGAACCAATGGTTGTCAGAAAAAAAAGAAAAAAAGGAAACTGGAGGAAAGGTGAAGAAAAAGAGGATAACAATGAATCATTCAGTCTTTTGGCACAGGGAAAAAGTGCAACATTCCCATTGTAAAACTTCATGAACAATGTTTGGTGCAACTTCCGGAGTCAAACCTCTCTGTCAAGACCCAATCAGAAGTAACGAGTTCAGCTGATGAGTCTTCATCCATAACTGCTCCTGAAAAACAACATCACCTTTAAGACTTAAATACTGAGGCAGTTACATGTAAATCACAGGCACTCATCCAAACACAGCTTTTGATTTTAGAATCAAACCATTCTGCACTGCCAAACATGTCCACAAGGAGGCAAAGCGGTAAAGTGCAAATAAACAATGTAAAATGTCCAAGGCTAAGTAGCAGTTCCGATAATAATGCCTTGGGCTTAAGGAAGGAGGATGAGAGGCAGATGCCCTACGGAGGGTCAGCTTGCAAGATATGGACTGCAGAAATCAAGCTCTGCATATATATTTAGTTTAAGCCTTCTCCTTGTCCAGCAAGTAAAGCATAAACAGACTGCAGTCATTAGCAAACTAGAAACTACTGTGGCATCTAGAAAGTCACAAAGCAGGAGGTGAGGGAAGAATTCTCTCAACAAACAGATCTCCGGCAATAAAATACACAAGATGCCTGGAAGCACCACGGTTTTGTCTCTTTGCCTACCTTAACCATCGTTTACTAAGCCATTTTTATTTATTATAAACTCTAGCATTACAAGCTACGTAGGCCAAGTAGTTGAACTACAGTGATTTAAGAAAGTGGGTACAAGATACTAACAGATAGCAGTTAAATTAAAAAAAAGAAAAAATACATATACACATACATACCTATCAGGGATAATTTTTTACAAACAGCAGACGTTATCGGACTCAAAAACAATACAGATCTCAGCAACTGAATGTACTGGAATACAACTAAAAAAAAAAAACCCGCACCCTAATCCAACGGACTTGAAAACAGAATAATGCTGAATAGAACAATTTAACCAAATCATGTACTAAAGCATGTAAATTAAGCAACATAAGTGAATCTGTAATTACAAATTACATAAAATTAATTAAAAATAAGCGGATTCATTTGAGATTATGCTTATAAAAACTACATCTAACCTTACTTGACTACAATGAATCAGACTTCCCAAGAAGATTTTTAACCAAAAACAACGGATTCATAAATTTCATATAAGACAAGGAAAATTGTAGCCTCTGTTCGCTCTGCAAAAAAAACAAAAAAAACAAATGCTACTATTAAAAACGTTCTTTAAATATTTCTTTCCTTGTGTATCTATATCGTGCCTTGTGCTTTTTGTGTGAATACATGCGTTATGTGCATTTCCCTAACCTGTAACCTTAGTAGTTTACGGTAAAGTTATGTTTACTGTATAACTGTCAGAATTTCTCTCTCTTCGCAATGTCATTCTTCCGATTTTGGGAGGTTTTATTGTCTTGTAACCGTTCTTGATATTGTAAGATATGTTGTTTATTATTCATTTAAAAAACTACTTACACTAAACTGCTACTTGCTACTTGTTTGAAAACAACTAAACTATTGCCACACTACTGATAAATGTAGTGTGGTACCACACATACTTTTTGTTCCTCCTCAACACTAAATACACTAAAAATACAAAGTGCACATTCCAAATAATTTTTGCAAACAAATGTCTAGCACGGATCTGCACATTTCCTCAGTCAGGCACACCTCCTTTCTGCATCCAGTAACAAATCCCCCGTCTACTCTTCACAGACCACAGTGTTCACAGCCGTTCCACGAGTCTGCTTATGCTGTAAATGTTCCTCACCTCCAGCTGTCTGCCAGCTCGCCTCAGTTGATGAGAATTCCAGGAGGCCTCCCATCTTCTTCAGTGATGTTCCTGAAGTTATTCTCAGCTTCATCCACAGTCCTAAAGAAGCAAAACATTGAGGGGATCCCAAAATAAACTCAACTGTAATAGACCAGAATAGATCAGTAAAGAGCGCGCACATCAAGAAGTCTTTGACGTCCTCAACGGTGAGCTCTCCAGTGGTGTCCAGTGTGATGTCAGCACTGCTGTTTGGAGAATCCAGGACGGGCGAGGATAAGGCGCTCCGCATTTCATCCAAGAGCCCTGAGAGAATGACCAACATAGTAACTTTTTTTTTTTGCCCAAGCAATGAACTCATTACATTACATGAAATACAACTTGTTCTGAGGTTTGACAGTGCGATTTGTATTGTCACAAAAGGGGTGAGATCATAGTTTTAGAAAAATGAACTGCTGTATGAGACATTAAAGTACATCAAGTACATAAATTAGACTTCAGTCATAAAAATTCTAATTTCCAGTAAAACAAAACCGCACAAACGCTGGTAATTTTAGCTAGTTGGGTGAAGAATGACATTTATTTTCCATCTGTCAAGACTTGAGTGCAGAACTGTTACCTTCAGTTTCAACAGACTTGCTCTCTGCTTGTGTCTTGTGTGTTCCATTAGCCTGTGGTGGCAGCGGCGTGCTGGAACCACTAAAAAAAGATTGAAATGTGCTGAAAATGCAGAACTATTATTTTCCCCAAATGTCTGGAACATGATTAATTTCTTCAACATGATCATCCACCAAACTTACCCATCTGTACGCTTCCATTTAAAAGTTTTGCTTTTTTAAAGTCTCTTCTGCTTACCAAGGCTGCATTTATTTGATCAACAATACAGTAACAACAGTCATATTGTGTAACTATTTTAAAGAACTTTTCGTTTTTTTTTTTTTATGATTTTAAAATGTAATTCATTCCTGTGATGAAAAGCTGAATTTTCAGCATCATTACTCCAGTCTTCAGTGCCTGGATATTATCATGTTGAAAACTGCTTAATATTTTCATGGAAATCATACTTTTTTTCCCTAAATTCTTTGATGAATATAACATTCATATATATACATATATATACACATATACATATATACACATATATATATACACATACATATATATACATATATAGTTGGATTATATAATTAATCCAATAATAACATACACACTATCTCTCTATATATGCACACACTGTCTGTCACTGTAACGTTTACATCTCCCTAAATTCTTTGATGAATATAACATTCATATATATACATATATATACACATATACATATACACATATACATATATATACACATACATATATAGTTGGATTATATAATTAATCCAATAATAACATACACACTATCTCTCTATATATGCACACACTGTCTGTCACTGTAACGTTTACATCTACCAATGTCTTTATACACTGTAAACAGGCTGTGGGGTCACGATTATTAATAAGGGACTACTGATATAAACTTCTTGTATTTTATAAGCAGATTAATTGCAACAGTGAAAACAGCAATAAAGTTAGAAAGCATGAAGTTCGCGAATGCCAGTCTATCAGTCAAGTCCAAAGCAAGATGCAACCCACAGCAACGCATTATGACAACAATGTCTCAGATAGTCTGATGGCAGATAAAATTAAATATAATTTTTTTTTTTTTTAAATAACCAAAAAAAAAAAAAAAAAAAAGTAATTCCTTACACAAAGTGCACATCAAATATGCTAAACACGGAATCTGTGTGACGCGTTCTACTACCAACTATCACTTTTACTTTAACAAAATTGTTCAAATCAGAGTAAAAAGCAAATAAACTTCATCCAAACACACATTTCCTATCATCAAAAACCAAAGTAGGGAAAAAAACTATTAAATAAGAAATAAAGTCCAGGTTACAATATACATTTCACCCGTAGGATGATGTTTTATGAAATTGCTTGAGTAGCTCCACCAACAGTGAAATCTCACTGATCCAAAATCCCGCTCAACATAATTGTATATTGAACATCTAATAGCTTCTAACTGGCAGTGACTGATGTTGCCCAGGAACTTCACATTCAGACTTGACCGGCAATTATCTTTAAACTCTACATTGCACCTGGCTAGAACACTGTTAAACTGATTCGAGAAATCTCTCTCGTTTACCTGTGAGCAGAGAGATCGTGAGGTCGTTCCACATCCACTCGGCACAGCGGCTCTGTGATCACACGAGCTGACAGCGAGAAGCGCTCGTACTCCGAGGGTGAAATCAGGTAGAATCCTAATAATATTGAAGGCAACATAGTTGAATCTCATTCATGTGGAAAAGCTCAAAGCTAGAAATTATTTACATGCTGTTTGAGAACGAACTACTAACCTTGTCCAGTCTTAGTGAACACGCAGGAAGCAATGCCACTGATGTCTTCTTTGCGGATGCAGTCGTAGCGTACTTGCGGTCTCAGTGCTGGCACACTGAACATGTGGATGTCACCCAGATTGGTAAGGCACACTAAAGCATTCTCAGAGTACTCTTCAGAGCTAACGCTGGTGAAGTTCGACAGCGCCACCTTTCGTACTCGACAGCCTTCATGGGCCGTCAACTTGAACTTGGTCTTCGCGCTTACTTTAGGCAGCATGAAAACCTACAGAAAGCGAAAGAAAGGTTGTTCACTTCTAATCCATTTTTTTGATGATCCAATTTATTTAGATGTAAATATCCCAACCTTAAACTGCTCCTCAGAAGCAATAAGAACAGAGTGGCTGCCCTGCATGTCTGGGGCTTTGGCCAAATCTCTGGAGACTTCGTAAGGCTCCGGCAGAGGGTTCCCTCGGCCATCCAGCACAGCGATAGACACCACTGGAGCTCTGTGCATGAGCTGGATCTCCTTCCCCAGCAGCGCCTCCACGCTCTGCTCAGAGAACTTCTCCTGTGAGGGTACGTCCAGAGCGTATGCATACACGGAGCCAGAGTTCGTGCCGGCCCACATTGTAGGTCCATGATGTGTTCCTGAGAAACATGGGGAAAATAATGCTGTCAACGAGGTGGCCTATATCCATAACAATAAATGTTGACATCCTGAAGTCTCATTTACAAAATACATGCATGATTTAATGCCAGTTTCATAGATCTGGTATTAATTTGACAAATCCTGATTTGTTATTGTCTTTTTTTAAAAGAAAAAAATGATATGAAAATACTGTTATATGCAGAGTTGTAATCACCATATAGAGGTGTACATTTTCATTACAGATTGTGAAACTTTTACATTTAGTTTAACATCTAGCAAGTGCAAAAAAGTTAACATTTAATAAGAATTACAGGACTATGTTTTATAATTCATCTTTCAGCCTCTACTATTGATGAGGACAATGAAAATGAATTAATTGAACTTAAGTACTAAAATGCAGTGTAACAAAAGGCAAGAGCAAGCTGAACAGACTAAACATGAATGGGCATGTCATTAGTTATATTAAGAGCATTACCATTCAAAAGTTTGAGGTCAGTAATTTTAAGAAATTAACAGTTTTATTCATAGGAAACATTAAATTAACCAAAAAGGCATTTAAAGGAAAGACATTCTTTACTTAATGGTCGTCTTTTGAACTTTCTATCCATTAATTGATACTAAAAACATATCTGTGCAGTTTTTTTACGAAAAATATGCAGCAACACAACTATTTAGTACCAAATCAGCATATTAGAATAGTTTCTGAAGGAGCATGTGGCGTAACGGCTACTGAAAATGAATAAAATGAATAACATTTTCAAATCTATTAAAGTACAAAACTGATATTTTAAATTATAACTGTAATAATCATATTATTACGGTTTTACTGTATTTTTGATCAAATAAATAATAATTGGTGAGCATAAGAGACTTTCAAAAACGATTTTTTTAAATTATAAATTGTACTGACCCCAAACTATGGAGTAAAAAAGCATTGTTTTGAAATAAATATTTGACAAGAATGTGAATCTTGATCTTCTAGCAAACGTTTCCCAATCCTGCTCTTTGTGTCCACCCTAAACTGAAGTTCTGGATCTGTTATCTAACATCTGATTCAACTTATCAGCTTGTCAGTAGCATTCTCCATGACCTGATGTAAGTATTTTGTGTGAGCAGATTTCTGAGTTTTCCTTATTCAGTCAGCACAGCTGTTTCAGAAAATAGTGACCTAACCTTACCTATTATTATGTTCCAATAACAAACCACTCACATCCATAACTGCACAGTACAAATGCGAAGTTATTCCCCCCATTACTGCGAATCATTTACATATAGTGCACTAATAAAACAATACTACGTTGTTCAGAACTCCCTCATGGAAAATTCAGCTCTCCTCAAACACGATCTGATCACTATTGTGCAAGAGTCTGAGTCACAAGGTCATATATTGGAAGATGAGGGAAATGGTGCTGCCTTGTGCTTGTGCACACATTTCACACAGGACAGACAAAACTTAGATTTATAATTAGATCAACAGCAAAATTGCTTTTGCTTATCTGATATCAGACTGATAATTAAAACAGGGTTGTATAACTGATCAAGTAAAACTAGGGCTGTAAAAAGATTAAATAATCTCTACTGAAACATTTTCAGTATATTTGCACATTTTTTAAAACATCCCAATTTGATTTAAAAGGATGGATCTTATATAGCATTGAATCGTAATTTCAAATTCAGTTTAAAAAAAACGGTCAAAAAAACAAAACAAATTTAAGTACTCATACTGTCAGTCTGAACTACCAAACTATGCCATATTTGAAACCTTTTCCCCAACAATTCTCACCATCTCTAAGGAAAGTGTCAGCGAAGCAGAGGCAGCGCACCACTCCAGACAGCGAGTCGTCTGCAGAGCGGGGCTCAATCCGTCTCTGCACTGGTGTCACCTCAGCATCGTGCTCCGCCAACTGAGCGTTAGCCTCCTGCACCTGATGAAAACGAGATGAGCATCTTAAAGGAAACTAATAATCAAGAGGTCAACAGACTCACAAACAACGGTCTCATTGCCTAGAATGACCAAAACCTGTAAGATTGTAATGCATGTACGTGAAATTTCCAGACAGACACTCACTTTATTGGTGGGACTATAAACCACAGCACGTTTCTTTCCCGAGACTCTGCTCTTCCGGATTCTTCTGAAGGACTGGCGCAGAGATTTCTTCAGAGACTTCACTCGAGACAGCGGGCCCTCCATAGCCAGAGAGTCATTGGGGTGTAGAGTGCACCTATGGAAAAACACAAAACCTTCCTTTATAGCAAAGTACAGTCACACAAAAGTCCAATTTGTATTATTTGTTATTTTATTATTTTATATAGTTATTACTATTAAAAATATTTTTTCTAATAAAATTGATTACTATTCTATTATTAATTAGCACTTATTAAATAACTGAGCTCACTTAATATAATAATTTAGATTAATAAAAGTATTCATATTATTATTATTATTAATACTTCATTTTTTAAATAAAATGTATTATAATTAACATTATTATTATTGTTGTTGTTGCAAATAATATCAATAATGGTCTCCATTAGTTTGGTTATTATAAGCACATTCTAGAGGCAGATGCAGAATATGCAAGAATATTTTGTAATAACAATTAAGTGGATTCAAATGCAATACATTTCAATTTTCTTGTTTAATTTCAATATGTTTGTGTCCTAAAACATTTGTAAATTAAGTTGGAAATGCAGCTTCGGATGAGACACGCTCATTGAGATAATTGTGTTTATTAACTTTGTCATTATTAGTCGTTCATTTAAAAACCCTGCCTGATTTGAAGATGGGTTTGCACATGACAAATTTCACATATATTTTAATTTAATTTAAAAAAAAAATCGAGCCAACCCCAATTCAGATAACTTGAATATCTTCATAGCAAATTAGATCAATCTCTTTCAATTGGATCCACTGATTAAAAGTGCTCCTGAACAAGCATAACACAGCAGCTTTGGATGGCCCTGCGAGTTACCTCGCCAGAACTGGACTTCGTCGATGATAGTCAAAGAGGCCAAAGCCATGACTGGTGCCAAAGGCAATGAGGTTCCACTCTGCGTGCAGGGTCACCGCAGTAACGGCCGCGGGGGGCATGCACTGCACCAGGACAACCGGCTGGAATCCAGGAGCAAACACTACTGAGCCGCTCTTAGGAGGCAGCCGGTCATGACCCTTCCACGTAAAACCCTCTCTGTCCTGGAGCAGGTCCACCGTGGCCACATCAATCATGTGATCGGACTTCTCATCGCTAAGAACCATAACTATAACCTGAGAACAGAGTATAGGATATAATATTACTAACATTTATTTTTGTGAAGACAATTGCCATTTGAAAACTTAGTGAGCTGCCCACCTAGACAACATTATTAGGCCATTTTTGAATGGCACTGGCTTTCCCCAAGGTGATGGGATAAAGCCATGTCATTATTCATGTTTCAATATTGTTAGAATGCTGCCTACGTAGACAGCACACCGCAAAGCCACTTAACTAGGCTTTTTAAAACAAAGCTACTGAGCTAAAAATATATTTGCATTGATCATTAAAAACTAGTGATCCTACTTGTCCAGCAGTTCCAGCCACCACAAGTTTTCCGCTGTATTTACAGACGCTGATCTTCTGGATTCCTAGTCTGGGATCATCACTGTATGGATCAAAACAGCCCACCTGGAAATAAATGAAAAGCAAACATGGATTGTTATTCTTCTTCATTGATTCTTAAGGCTGCAAAAATAGAGTTGCAATATCCCTTTGAGGAACATATAGTACAAAAACAAACCCGAGCCAATAAAGTCCATTCTAACTGTAACAAAGACAAACAAAATATCTTCCACATGCCAAAGAAAAAAAATCAAATCCCATCTATACAGCTTTAAAGAAAAAGCATCAGCGATATAGTTCCACCCACGTTATGAACAATATAATGCAATCTGTAATAATATAAGACTACATTTCATTCCCCTCTAGAAACATTGACCCTCAGAAACATCTGATCCCAGTTAAACAGCAGCGGACAAAGAAAAGAGGAATGTGCATGTTATGAGGAGAGAAAAAAAAAAATAGTAAAACAAAAGCAATGCAGCAGTGCCATCCAGAGAAGCAATGTGCTTCATCTTCAGCAGACATTAGCAAAGCATTTCGTCTGATCCCAGTTAAACAGCAGCGGACAAAGAAAAGAGGAATGTGCATGTTATGAGGAGAGAAAAAAAAAATAGTAAAACAAAAGCAATGCAGCAGTGCCATCCAGAGAAGCAATGTGCTTCATCTTCAGCAGACATTAGCAAAGCATTTCAGTCATCAGACAGACAGTCTGCTTTTAATTAAGGTGCAAAGGAATTGACTCCAGTGTGAATCCCATATGCTAAAGTGGGCCACGCGCCAGACTGCAGTTGGCGTTTTATGAAGAAGCTGATGAAGAGGAAAAGGTGGATTAGGAAAACAAAAAAAGAGAAGGGAGAGGTGAAGAAACTTGCTAAAGCTGCCCTTGTTGTGAAAGAAAACTGAGTAAAGTAAAATAAAATAACACTGTCCCGGTGTTCAGATGATGCGATTTAAGCTTTGTTTTAAAAGTGAAAAAAAATATTATAGATACAGATATTCCATAAATCCCTGACCTTTCTAAAAGGAGGCCATTCCTCCTCCCCGGCCTGCGTCAGGCTGTCGTTGTGGTCGCAGTCTGTCTGAAAGATGTTGGCTGTGCTCAGTTTGTACAGCGGTTTGAGCGACACTCCTGACGCATCCCAGAAACGCACTGTACCATCCTCGTGACTAAACAAAAAAACAAATATATAGGCATACACATCATCCTGACAAATTAACAAATAAACACTAATGTTTTCATTTAAAATAAAATAAAATCTCACCCAGTTAACAGCAGCTCTTTCTGCTTTGGATCAGATGCTAAGTTTTTCCCTCCACATATTGGCCAATTCTGTTAAAACACAGAGGAAAAAAGCTCACTCAGGCCACTTCAAAAAAACAAAAAAAAACATCTGGCAAAATTTAAATTCTCTAATGAAATAACATTAAATAAGAACTTTGATGCTGGTTTGTGTTTTATTGGTCGTTGTTAAATAAAATCCATTTCAGAAAGCCTAAGCTATTAAATCTAAAAATACAGTACGAGCGTGCCGTATTAAATCAATTAATTTATATAACAGTAACAAAAAAACAAAACAAAGGTTGGTGTTTGTTTTATGATGTTAATGTTATACACATAACAGATGTTATACTAAATGCAAATATTTAGTTTTCTGCTGAAGTGAAAGAAAAATGATACACATGTAAAAGCATGAAAGCCAACTATATGTCAGTTATGGAAATGTCAACACAATTTTACACATTATCCAGAATTTGCAAGTTGATTTTAAATCCATTCTGCCAAATTTCCTGTTAAACCAACAGTGGACATGTGAAAAAAGGTTTCTGTATGACAGTAGCGAACCGTGACTCTAGAATCTAGGCCCTCTCCCTCTACCCTCGTCGTGGGAAAGAACAAACTACCAGCCTAGCTTATGGTGTCCTCTTCTAAAAGTCATCTTTGACAATTCCACCTCTGAAACAAGAGGCTATTCCAGCCTTAATGTGGTCACACACCGGAGGACAAGTGCAGACCGCAGATATCTTTAATATTCGCACACATGGTTTTCTTTTCTATGAGTGCATGCACACCGGCGGCGCCACTGGCGACAGTCCGCGGATCACAGCTGCGACTCCGGGCGCTGTTCATAAACCTGCCGCGCCACAGAGCACCACTCACATCATTTTCCATAAAAATACATTAGATTTGTCCCAAATCATTGTTAATGTACATAATGACTTCATCCTAGGTTGGAAGATTGTGTATTGTGCATTTATTCAGCAAAACGTTTGTCTTTCTGTGGCTCTAAATTTCATGATTCATTTAAGTTAGTGAGCTATAAGTTCGATCGCAATTTCTCATCCCGTTTGCTGTTTTTTCGATCCCCGAACTTTTAACTCATTGACACCACTTGCTCATTCTTGAAGATAAGTTTTGACAGTTTTGGGAATAGATCAAATGTTTTGGACTGCCGTCTTGAACTGCCATTGTGCGATATGTGTTGCACCGGGGAACTGCGCTTCTCGTCCGGTGTGCGACCGCAACAAAACAGTACAGGGAGAGTGACTGATATTACCAAAATAAAACCGCTAAATTGGAGTCAAATACAAATCCTCATTACAAATGCATCATCACACAAAATAGGCCTATACAGACACTCAATCCCTCCTACCACACAAAACCAACAAATGTAATGTGTTTAAGACAATACACCATGACAGTGCTCACGGCAAATTAGCGACAGACACTTCAAGACAAACAAGCCAGGGACGCGGGAAGTAGGGGTGCTGAGGGGGCTGCAGCACCCCCTGTTTTCACATGGTTGCAAATGCAACGGCAAGTTTGTTCATTTAAATTTATTCCGTTTTAGCATTTAATAATTTATTTGTAATGATCTCTGAAATGTAAATTGTAAGTGGGCTATAATAAATCCATGTTTATCTTTATAAACAGGATTAATTTTACTTGCGATGTTTTCTATATGGGATGATTAGCCTAATCCTCATGAACACGTGACGCTGGCGCGTGGTATCAGACATGAACTATACAGAATGTGAACAAGATTAACTTTAATACAAGGAGATAATGGCGCAAAAGCGAATTTCAGATTTTTTTAAATGCCCATTCCAAGAAAAATATCCAAAATCGGCATCCAACACCAGCCCCAGCACGAGCACCGACGTAAGTGAACCAGCTCCAGCACAAGCACGGAGACAAGTAAGCCTAGCGGACCCAGCCCAACCCCCGCGATTGATCAGCTACTATCGATAATTTCACAAATGTGATATACAGTCAAATTTCCCAGTGTGTATGCCACTTAAACGAGTGTTCATATCGACGCACTTGTAGTGCTTTGTGGAGTTGTCAAATGAGGTCGTTCTCCACGATAGTGTTTTCATGAATTTCAATAAAAAGAAAAAAATTGAGAGAGACTGATAACGGCAGTCAGAAGAGAGAACGATGTCAAATTTACCGTCCCGCCCATAGACGCTGCATTAGAAACACTCTTGCATTAGCGTTAACTGTTTTTTTGTAATTTGATGCAAAGGTGATATAATACAAAGAATAGTGTTATAAATGTAGATACATTTAAAAAAAAAAATACAAATATGAAAAACTTTCGAGGATTTACGATGCTGATGACCGTTAAACACGTCATCATAGTCTTGTGAAAAGGGTCCATTGCTTGGCCCTCTGTAATTTTCATAGATGGACCTTCCGCAGACGTTTGGCTGAAACATTCTAATATGGAGAAAATGGGCGGCGTTCATTTGCCCATTCACTGAATAGGCAGAATTGGAGAGCTTTTTTTATTTTTTTACTCAGATAAATTTTATTTTATTTAGATTATATTATTATAAATTGCTTAAATACAATTTGCAATAATTATTTTTTATTTAAAATACTATATTTTAAAACATTTAAAAATTGTCCTCTCTGAGGGCCCTGACGGGTCCCCACAGCTGTATGAAGACTTTTCACCCACCTCATAGTTCTGCAGAGGACACTGCTGCTGGCCTGCACTGATCACTCTCTCCCACAGTTTGGGAAGCACATTTGAGATGTGACATGAACAGGTGATGGCAGAGGAGTGCAGAGGAGCCAGATAGGGAGCAGGGACAGTGGGCCAGCCAGCCATCTGAAGATCAATCACGATCAACTCCTCTTCCAAAAGAACCACAAGCGCTGATGGGTCATTACTATATTTTAAAACATTTAAAAATTGTAAATATTGTTTGTACAATAAGTTAGGTCCTCTCTGAGGGCCCTGACGGGTCCCCACAGCTTTATAAAGACTTTTCACCCACCTCATAGTTCTGCAGAGGACACTGCTGCTGGCCTGCACTGATCACTCTCTCCCACAGTTTGGGAAGCACATTTGAGATGTGACATGAACAGGTGATGGCAGAGGAGTGCAGAGGAGCCAGATAGGGAGCAGGGACAGTGGGCCAGCCAGCCATCTGAAGATCAATCACTATCAACTCCTCTTCCAAAAGAACCACAAGCGCTGATGGGTCATCAAATTCTGAGGGGCACAAAAATAACCATGCACAGGAAATAAAAATAAACATTTAGCATACACATGCAACATCAGTAATTTATAGGACACTTATTACAGGAACAGCTCCACAGAAGCAACCGGGATCCAAGTGCCCTGATCAAGGGTACAACTGTGGTAGTTTAGTGATTGCCCCATGTAAGAGTTTGAACCTATAACTAGAGCTGGGCATTATGACTGTATATATACACCATGGTAGCAATGTCAAATTGAACAGATTCTGCTGGAATTATTTATATTGCAGCATATTCATGGTACACAATTTGAAGTGTTTTTCACATTGATGGCTTATGTGTTCTAAAAAAATATTATTCTGGTTTACATCCATCAAGTAAATAACCAAGCGGCAACTTTCCGGTCTCTCTCTTGAATCCAACATGGAAGTGACTTAAACTGCAGTTCATCGACTGGCTCCAAAAGGGAGTCAATCCCATAGACCCCCCCCCCCCC